GCAAGGGAGGGGAAGGATGCACAGGTTTGCAGAGTTCAGTGTTCTAATTAGGCACTATTAAAAGAACCCATGTTGTTAACTGCTGTGAGTTGGCCTTCAACTCATGGCAACCCCATGTACAACAGAACAGTCCTGTGCCATCCCCGTGAACGGTTGTGGATCAAACGGTTGTGATCCGTAGAGTTTTCATTGGCTGATTTACAGAAGTAGACCACCAGGCCTCTCTTCCTAGACCAGAGTCTGTAAGTCTGGACTTAGTCTGGAAGCTTCACTGAAACCTGTTCACCATAGCAACATGCAGGCCTCCACTGACAGACAGGTGGTGGCTATGCATGAGGTACATTGGCCCAGAAATTGAACCTGAGTCTCCTGCATGGAAGATAAGAATTTTACCACTGAAGCACCATTGGGTGCTTACTGTATGCAGGATGCTCAAGTACGTGGAAGAGACAGCCAGACTTTCTCTTCTGTGTAGGAGTTTCTAGTACTGCAGGAAGAGAGAAGCGTTTTAATACTTCAGTGCAATGTAGGGTGGTCAGTGCTAGAAGAGAGGTGAGCAAGGCACTAAGGAGCACAGAGGAGGTGCGGCAGCACATCCTCAGAAAAGAGAGTGCAAGGTCTAACTCAGCCGGTAGAGTTTGCCAGGCAGGCATTCCGTAACAGTGCTGGCAGAGGCAGAGTGTTTGAAGAAAGCTGCAGATTAGGACTTTGTTATAGCTGCAGGGTATGAGTATGTGTGTGTATTTGGGGGGACCTTCCTTCTCCCTTCAGAATAGGTAGTGGTAATGAGTGCAGGCTCTGGAGTCACACTTCCTAAGTTTGAATCCTGACTGCCATTTAGTGTGTTACCGTTGGCCAGTTTGTTTACCTTTTAGGTTTCGTTTTTTTCTTTTTTAAGTTGGGGGTGTTCCGTTCCTTTTCTGGGGTTTTTTTTATTGAGTGAGCCCATGTATGTTGCCTAGAGCAGTGCCTGGCACTGGGACATGTTCAGTGTCAGCTATTATTCCATAAATGTTTCTTAGAAGTTCCTTCTGCTACATCCAAACTTAAGTGTC